CCTAAAGATACAATTTAAAATTGGATCTTTGCTAAGTTGTCTGGTATGTATAGATACAGCACTGATTGTCATTGGTTTAGGTGGCTTTTGTATGTGTGAATGATTCATCGCTCAGCATTACGTGGCTTACCAAACAAACAAACAAACAAACAAAACTGGTCAAAAGTTTTAGAACACCCAAATTCTTCCATTTTTTTATTTAAAATTATGAAGCTAAATGTCTTGTTGCATTCCGAAATGAAAACATAGTACAGATAAGCAATTGGAGTTAAATAAAAGTAACCATGGAATCAATTTATAGACCAAAATGAGTTCTAAATGTTTGACTCATCAAAGTAGCCACCTTTGCAGATATAACACCTGAACACACCTGTGACATTCTCCCTACAATAGAAATCAAATATTCTTCAGAAAGGTCTTTCCATATCTGTTGCAGAAGTTCCCATAAATGTGTGGCACTTGCAGGTTGCTTTGCTTTCACTCTTCTGTCCAGTTCATCCCAAACCAGCTCGATGGAGACCGTGCTGGCTGCTCTGTGTGTTCAAGCTTACCATCTTGTGCTTTTTGCTAAGGTAGTTCTGGCATAGCGTGGACTTATGTTTAGGGTCATTATCTTGCTGTAGGATGAACCTCTGAAAACTAGGCACATACCAGAGGGTATTGCATGGTGCTCCAGAATGCTGTGGTAGTCATTTTGGTTCAGGGTGCCTCTCACTCTGTACAAGTCACCAACCATGGATCCAGCAAAACACCCCAGACCATCACACTTCCTCGTCCATGTTTGACAGTTGATGCCACACACTGTGGAACCGTCTTTTCACCTACCCGATGGTGTACAAAGATCCTGCGGAGTGAACCGAAGATTTCAAATTTTGATTCATCAATCAATAATACCTTCTTCCAGTCTTCAGTAGTCCGATGGTGGTGTTTCATGGTCCAGGCAAGCCTCTTTGTCTTATTCTGATGTCTTAGCAACGTTTTTTTTTTTGCTGCAACTCATCCTGTCAAACAGCTCGAAGTCTTCTCTTTATAGCTGAAACTGAGACTTGCTTACTACGACCATTATTAAGCTGTGCTTGAAGATGTTGTCCTGTGAGCTGCCTATCATGCAATTCTGAAATGTACATTATTTTTCTTACAAAAAGTCTGGCTCAAGCTAAACATAAAGGAAGGGTGTGCTTAAAACTTTTGCACAGCACTGTAAGTTAGCTTAGCCTGTGTCAAAAAGAAATCTTAAAATGCAACAATCTGACATACTTAGGCCCAACTAGAATTTATGTTGTAAATGTAGACATATATTAACTGTTATACTGACAGCTAGCATACTTGTTAGTCTACAATAAAGTGGTGCATTTGCAAGTTTAAGGGACATAATGACACTCTTGGTGGTTAAAGACGACGCCTGGAAATGCTACATAGTAAACTACAGTCTTTTTCAAGTGTTTTATACTTGGGGCCATGGAAAACAATATTTCACATTAATAAACACATTTGAATAATGTTATAAAGCTCGCCGAATAGTTTCCTTTTATCTCACTGTTCATTTTGAGCGGACATCCATGCGTTTACTTGATTTATAACTTTTAGTGTTAATTTCGACTGCAGTTTAGTTTTGGCTTTGCGTTACAAGGCCAAATAGAAGTTTTATGTCTGTCTTAGTCAAATAGTAAACAATCAATTATGTCTGATCGATCCATTGTGTAGTGTTACAATATTCAGTGTAGTTTAACATTTGCAGCTCTTCCCTGGTTTGTGGAAAATGACAATTGAGCAACCAAAGCGCATTTTTCACCTGTAACACAATTACAGTGGTAATGCTCAAGGCCTTTTCACAAGTTAGAAAATACAAACAATAAAGAAGAAATATTACGTTGTTTGTTTTTCCATTATTAAACCATTTAAACAGCATTATGCCATTATTAACGATGGCTCTGTGCACTCATGAACCATAAGATTGCGTATCTAATCTTGTCCTTTTACTGCTAAAGCGGCTTTAAAAAGGAGCTTCAGCTTTTGTCATTTTGCTTGACACAAAGTTATAAGCACCATTTAAGAGATTGTGTTTTCAAATTGAAATGCAACACTAGCGTTTTGCAGTTTAATGAAGCTAATAATAACTAGCTGGTGACTCGCAGCAAAGTCAACAGTCACTGGCTGGAATTGACTGGCATTCACTTTTGTTGATTCAAGAACACTTTCAAAGAAAACCAAGACTTTTAGTCGTAAATGTGCCTTTATGTCATTGTCAACTGCATGTGAGCCAAATGAAAATGGAAAACTCGACTCGATTAGCAATTTAATAAAGTAGTTAGTGCTTAGGTAATGGATGAACATAAAGAAAATACTTTGAAAGTTTTTTATTCATTATTATTCATCTTCTGTGTCTCCTGTTTCTGAAAGCAAGTCGTGTCACAAAGCCACTGCTACACCCCACAGGTACCTTGTAAATTATTCACCTAATTCAGACACCGTGCTAGTTCTCTGTGGCAATCTGACCCAGTAAGAAGTTTCAAAATACTTACTAAGTCCTTGAAATCTTTCTTTTTCCTCCAAGCACATATTTTTTTTATTCTTGCCTGTGGATTCTGTCTGCAAAGTCTGTGTGGCATTAGAGGCTGATGAAAAGTCCAAGGTCAGAGTCTGCAGAGTTTCTACACAGAGTAGACTTTACCAAAATAGAAGTATCTCTCTGTCAAGTGACCTGTAGAAACTAAGCCTCATTTTAAGCCTTAACTCATCTGAAACCTAAACCTGTAATGTAACATGTAATAATGAGAAAATATGGCTATCTGAGTTTTCTTGAGTGAAGTCACTGCTGTAATAAGACTGGAAAGGTTCGAGTTAATGACAGACTTTTGAGGTGGGAGAGCTTGGCATTGATAGATGAGTGCAATTGAGGTACAGTGTAGGCTAATTAGTGGAGGAGATGATGCACTCGACTGATCCTAATGTCATCACAGATGCTTAGCGTAGCCTGTCAGTCATAAATACCGACCTTGACATTTTCTTGCAGGATAACTCGCCGTCCTGAGCTCCACAGCTTTTTCTTCTCTGCCCTCCTCTTATATTGTAAATGACTGTTTTTTTTACTTTGTGTATGGTTTGTTGTATAATTAGGGGTACATTTCATGTTCACACATTGTATTGAAGAGATTTTATTAAGTATTAACTTCAAGCAAGGAGAAATCTTATAGTTGAACATTTTTTCTTGGTTTTCAGCAGGGAAAATAACAAAATCTGCACTTTGCACTTGTTTTGCTGCACTAACAATGTCTTAAAGTACATTTAAAAAGAACAAAAACCCAAAATGAATATGTACAAAATATAATACTTAAAAGTAAATAGTGGGAAAAGACAGTGAGGAGTCTCCTTGGCTACAAGGGGCCAACGTGGCTCAGGGGGTTGGGAAGCGTATCTGTAACCGGAAGGTCGCCGGTTTGAGCCCCGGCTCGGACAGTCTCGGTTGTTGTATCCTTGGGCGAGACACTTTACCCTACTGGCCAGAGGGGCTGATGGCGTGATATGGCAGCCTCGCTTCTGTCAGTCTGCCCCAGGGTAGCTGTGAGAGTGAATGAATAGTGGCATTTTAAAGTGCTTTGGGTGCCTTGAAAAGCGCTATATAAATCCAATCCATCATTATTATTACATGATGCTTTACATGATACTTTTAGGAGAGATTAATGTTTCAGATTTAAATGCTTTGATATTGTTTTGATACACTGAATGAATAATGACTAACTAGGCTTCACTACCTGATTAAAGCAGCATTTGCCTTTTAGGATCATCTATATTATCCTCAGCAGTACTTGTGTCAACAAAGCAATGATTTCAAGAAGTATGTTTGTGTAGATTCTCAGACATCCAGGTCATGGAGTGTTTCACCATTCATCCCAGTGGCTTCTTCAGTGCTATAACCAAATGATGGGGAGTATCAGGTATTTAAACCCTGGTGGCGAGTTGTTGACCTAGTATTAATCATATGATTTCATGAAGTATCGTTCACTTTGATACAATGCATTTGTGTGAGAGGCTGCTACATTTCTGTAATTTCATCCAGTACAAGTAATGTGGGAAAATTCCAAAGTGCTCCTTTAAGCCATGACACTCAGTGTTATGACTGTATTAAACAGTTTGTGTAGGGAGATGGTGAATATGAGAGAAGGGGTTCACATTTGCAGAAACAGAAGACCAAATATTTTTATTCTCATGTGTCCTGTCCTGTTACACGTGATGTTTGTGTTGTGACCTTTTGAATGTTTAAACTGCAATGAAAATGGATTTTAAATAACTTTAAATTGACTGAAATGTGGATTTTTAGCTGAAAAAGAGACATCAGCAATCATATCGGCAGAAAATCAGTCAGCCACGCTCAAACTTATAAATTAATAATAATAATAAATAAATAATGAAAACCTGAAAACCGCTGGTGAATAGACTCAAGAACTCTTAAACACATTTTTTCAGGTGTGTAGTTTCTCATGTATTTCTGCTGTGAGACAGCTTTTCTCTTCTTTTACTGACAAAATAATTATTTTAACTATAATAACAAATTTTCATTTTCATTTAAAAATGATTAGTGGTTATGGATTTTAGATACTGTTGGGGTATGCTGTGGAACAACTTGATGATTTAGCAGAAAAGACTTTTTCATTTCTTTTTCTAACAAAATGTACCCTTAATTATTGAGTCACTTGTCTGTTTGAAGCGCCCATTGTGTGCCATTAAAATTGCCCATTAGTGTCACTTTTTAAAAAACGTTCAGTTACACATCACACAGCAGGGCTGTAATGTACTGTCATTGCTGATTCATCGAGGTGGATACTTTCCCCTTAATTCTCCTTTATGCCTCTCCTCCTCCTTGTGTGTGCCTTCTATCTCTCTCCCACTCTCTCTCTCTTCTCCTTCTCCTCCTCCTCTTCACGGGCCAATCAGGCCACACCTCCATGGCAACCGTCATTGAGGGTAAAACATCCACAGATGGTGCTGAGTAGAGCGAGCAGTAGGCGCACTACGAGTGTGTGTGGGAGTGTGTGTTTGTTTGTGTCTGAGAGAGACAGAGAAGGAGAGACCCACTGGATAACCACTGTATTGTGACTCCAACAGTAGTAACACAGAAGAAGAGCAGCAGAGTGTATGCTCAGAGGAGTTGGAGGAAAAGTCCAGAGAGGAGGGAGTGAGTGTTGGAAAGAAGTCCCTTCACCTCTCTCCAGAGAGCAGGAGGTAAAGCGTCGGTAAGCAAATATTAACGATCTGACAAAAGAGCACACTCCATCCCCGTGTCCGTGCTGATCAGACAGCCTTTACCCTGGAGCCGCGCAACAGACGAGCTGGGACACATACACACTTGCGAGTGGAGTCCCCCGTCACTTCTCTCCACTCACTCATGATCATCACTCCTGCCACACACCGACACAAAGGCCACGCTGACACAGCCAGAAGAGTGGGGCAGAGAAAAGGACACTTGCCCTGTTGCAAGACTTTGTCAAAGTGAAAGTCCTTCCTGGATTTTAACCCTGAAACTAGAGTCTTCCTTTTGTGCTGACCTTTCCAAGCATCCCCCCTTTACCCCACTGCAAAGATGAGCTGCAGGAAAAGATGCAAGCGTGAGATCTTCAAGTTCGCACAGTACCTGTTCAGACTCATCACAGGCACGCTCAACACCGGTAAGACTCTGACAGGCGTCTTTGCTGCAGTTCTCCTAAACCTCCGCCGATTTTTGTATTTACATCTAAGCAGTTTTGTTCTACTTCTCCTCAACGTTTTCATAAAAATTTTCTTCTTTTTTTTTTTAACAAAGTCCAAATTGGACACATCCACCTTGCGTAACATCAGCACCATGCAGTATTTACATTGTGTATACATTTACAGCAGCAAAGCCCACTTGAGGATTTCCAGACTGGGGTTTGGATTTATCGCCTGCTCTCCATCATAATTTGTTTGACTGTGCGCGCATGTTAAAATGTGCACAGAAGGACAGAATATAACCGGAGGCAAAGGTGAAGTCATTATAGTGGAAAGACATGTAATCAAACATCTCATGCAATACAGGAACAGCAGTTTTTTTTATGTATTCAAGGATTTGACTCGCTGGTTCTGACAGCTCAGCGTTGCAGTCCTGTTTTCTGCATCTTAACAATTTTAAGCAGCGTTGCATATAACATATTGTTATTTCGGGTTATCGTGTAATGTGATGTCAGTCAATTAAAAATAATGTGTAGCAGTATGTTTGTTCCAAATCCTTACGAGTCCTTTCTTGAAAATGAAGTTGTTGCATTCAGTGTGCACAAACACCACCAATCATCAATAGTTCTGGACTTATCGTGCTGCAAAGCCTAATATAGTTCGGCTTCTTTTTGGATCCGTGCACACAGACCAAGAGCTTTTCTAATAAGCAGGATAGTAAATCAATGGCTTTAACAAGATTAAATCATGGATTATGGTGGATTACCAGCAGATTACTCCATGAAGGGTTCAATAAAGGATAAAGGTTACCAGCAGCAGAATATACTGATCGTTGCACATATTGCACATTATGCATCAAACGAGCTCTGAATTATTCACAGCTATCATTCGAGAGTTGATTATTCTTGGACTTTACAGTGGCATGTGCGGTTTGTGCACAGATGATGTGACAACACTAGTAGCATACATTGACACCCTTGCCTTGTGTGTCTCCTGTCTGGTTTTTGTATTAACTGAGCTCCTGTCGAGTAGGTTGTTGATTATCACACCGCAAGGTGCTAAGCCCCGGAGAGGTGCTTCTTGAACATGCTAACGAATTACAACATGATTCTGAACATTTAAGACTATTTTTACTTCTTGCAGCCACTTCAGTTCTTACAGTGTGTGTTTAGTTAAAGCGCGAAATGAAGCTGTGGCCTACTTTCTGCGGTGTCCTTGACCTTTGAGACAGCAGGAACAAGTCGGGAAGAAGGGAGGCAGCTACAGAAGAGTCACCTTGTCGATGGGGTGAACTATAAAAGGAGTAGATGGTTTCAATTTTCCAATCATAGCAATGAGTACGGGCTTGTGGGTGATGCAAAGGTTGAAGAAATCCATCTACAGTATAAGCCCAGAGGAGTATGCTGTTGGTTTCCATGGCCACCAGCATGTTGCTGAGGTCAGACTGCAATTCCCATTTGGTAATAACACGATTAGTGTATATTCTGGAGTAATTTACCTTCATGTCCCCAAAGCTTTGGCTGGTAAAATGCAGCATTGCTTTGTTTGTTCATGTGTAAAACTGTGTTCTTAATTGTTAGTGTTAGTACTTGTTAATTATTACTCATGTAGACTGCATGGCTGGACGTTTTTTCCCTTTGGACCCGGGTAATTACTGTAAATGTGCTGAGCCAGAGGAAGATACTTTGCTCAGTCAAATCTCGATATTATAGTTAAATATTGAAAAACGCTTTAAATTACACCTGTACGTTGGGGACACACACACAGCATTCAATTATCACACATATATTGATTCAGTTTTGAAGTCCTCATTCGAAGCCACCACATTTTCCCTATTTCAAATCCTTAAGAGAATTCTGGTTGTTTATCTCCTCCCACCTGTACAGATATACAGATATAGATATCCAGGTGCTGACATGCAGACATTACTGCATGTCAGCACCTGGAGCTTAATTCCTCAAAAAAAGATATTACATGTATGAGGTTACAAAACCCAATACCAGTAATTTATTAGCCAGTTTCCAGTTGGTTGGGTCCATTTCTCTATGAACACATTGTATCAACTCATCTTCCACAGACTTCACTGCAGATTAATATAAATGGAGCTTGACCAGAGTGAGGCTGGCTCGGCCATATTTGGATGACCAGGGGAGGAGAATGATAGATGGAGTCAGTTAACAGGCCAAGGGGTCTTAATTGAGATGTTCATTGTCCTAGAAGAGACTCACAGTCATCGCTTCATTTGGTCATTTTGTTGCCAAGGACATCATGGATACATAGAGTAGGTGGAGGGTAATGCGCATGATGTAAGAGGACAGGGCTTTTCAGATGTTGGATGTCTGCAGTGAGCATCTGCTGTCTGCAAAAGCCTTTTTGTTAGTATAGGTCTCTGAAAAAGATGTATTATCATTAATGTGAAGTTCCACTCCAAAGAGAGTTCCTTTGATATCTGCAGTGAGCGCAGGGCATAGTTTATTAAAGAAAAACAGAGCATACAGTATAAAACATGCTGTACATATAGACTGTTTAAGAGGCCCACCATTCGTATTTGTGCCACCACCACTGCAGCGCAGCAGCCGTTGAATTTTCCAACTGTAGAGGGGAAACAAATCACAGATGCACAGCTTTTCTGAGGTTATAAATCCAAACAGCAGTGTCAGCACATGCTCAATAGTGTGAGAGGCAGAAAGTTGTTGGCTGCTCACACCAGGGGAAATCTTCATCTCCTTCAACATTTCCATTTCAGCCACTGTGACAGATGAGCAGGGAGAGCTACAAGTCCACCATCAGTATGTGTCACAGGTTTATTTATACTGATTACCTTTATGTAGCACATTTTCAATGTCTATTCATTTTAGAGTCAGTAGTGTGCACTGGGACATTTTAAAGCATATATTTTCCCGCTTGTATTTAGCTGGATTGCATTGCAGAACACAGTAAATCTGCCATTTGCTTCGGAGCAGATACTTTTTTGGAATCTTTCACAGCATCGTCACGGTTCGCTTCTTCCCTCAGTGTCTGGCTGTCAGGCGTCCCAGCATCTGTGATGCATCATCCTTTTCTTCTCATCAGGACAAGCTCACATGCTCGTAACCGATTCCAAGCATATCGTTTGACATCACAGCACATGCCCTCCCAACCTCTCCTCTCAACCTTTTGTGTGATAAAACTTGCTTTCTCTGCACTGCTACTGCGTTGATGAGCCATTAAGCAGCTCGCATCATTTTAATTAGGTTAATTTGGCTTGTCAGTGTGCTTAGCAGAGACGGATATTTTATTGGCTGAAGTTGAAGTGTTTATAAACTTTCTGATGATTTTACAGTTTGGATGTTGTGACCTGTTGTGAATACCAAACATGGGTACAAAGATTTTAGAGATCATCTTTTGCCGTTTTAAATGACCTGTATGCATAAAGAAGGTTTGACTTGACACCGCCAGTGCAGTACTATGTTTTATAGTTGTGATCTAAAATAATTCATTTTTTGCTTGTGCCTGTGACAAGACTCTTCACTTCTATCCTCTTATTTTTGTAAGATTCAGGCCAAGCCAAATATGAAATTTTGCGTTTGATTATCACTACTTTCCTGGGCTGTCAGAGCCCAGAAAAGAGGGGCAGGCTTATGATGCTCACTCTGCCCCATCGGTTGTGGAAGCAGTGCTTAATTGGACTAGCCTCTTCATGATTTGAAAGAGCAGCGCACGGCGGGGTTTCAACAAAATCTTCTAATGCTGTCAAATTAAGACTTAATTTGTTCTCACATTATTTTATTTGTGTAAAACTTCTTCAGTTTCAGCGTGACTGCGACGTCAGGGGCATCAGGTTCAAAGATGGCACATGAGACACCTTTTGGTTATGTAGTGTGCAAAGTCATCAGCCGCACGTGGTTTCGTTCCCACTGTTGATCCAGGAGTTTATTACACTAACCTCTATGTTTGCCCAGACTGCACTGATGATTTATGGTTCATTGTGGGAGTATTTATGGGCGGAATATAAGAACATTTTTATCCTCGCGCAGACATAAACGTTTGGCGTGAATCAGAGAGTTATTTAAATGAGCCTCACGACTGCAGTGTAACCAGTCACGCACAGAGGCGCCCACATGCTTGCCCCTGAAAACATGCACTGTTTAGTTTGGAGATGTTGCCTCTGCTTCTCAGATTATCATGTCTGGCTCATCTCCAAAGTAGTAGTCCCAACCAAACACCTTAAATGGTTCTTGCAGTATCTGTGTGGAACATCAGGGCTTGAAACGTGTCCTTTGAGACAATCTTGTGGGGAACTTGTGTCGCCTTTTTGGGAAATCAACTTAGAAATGTGCTTTCTCATCTGCTGTGTGGAATAATTTGTAGAACTTTTAAGTAAAAAATGCTAAAATCAAAAACCCCTCTGTAGCCTTTTTTACCTATATAGTAACTACAAGTTAAAAAAGTGTTAATTGGTGACAAAGGCATCAAAATAAAAGATTTGTTCTGTTTGTGTTTGGAAAGTGTTCTGCTTCAGAGAAAACTCAGTCGATGCGGCCTTTGCAAGATGTTTAGTTACTCATCTAATCCATGGCCATACGACAATGCTGTCGACATTAATCTACCTGTCAGTATGCAGTTGTGAGCACGTGTGTGGGGGCATGCCCAGTGATGCGAAGGCCCTTCTTTGTTTCCCTCTCTTTGGTTTCCTGACAGATAGTGGCAGGTCATGTTCCACCTGTCCCATGAGGACAGCACGTTCAAAGTGCATAATCCCTGACCAAACACTGAATATTTGATACCCACAGGCAGGTTGGTTTGGCATCACATCTGTGCAACAGTGCCTGCTCTGGAGACGCCAGACTGTTTTACTTCTTGTACATGAAGACATTCACTATAAGAGGGTGTATAGAGATCATTTCTGATAGAGAAACCCAAATATTTCTGGAAGTTTTAAGCCTGCATGTTCCACAAATTACTAGAATTGTTATAAAACTACCAAAAAATATACAAATGT